GGTCGACTTTGATTATCCTGGACGACTTTAATCTAAGTCGTCTGAGCGGTCGACTTTTAATTAAGTCGTCTGGAGAAGTTAAAAATTTAAGTTTTATTTTTGAATTGCAAAACTAACGTGAGACGACTTATAATTAAGTCGTCTAGATTTAATAAAATATTGAAATTTTAACTTTCCCAGGGACGACTTAATTTTAAGTCGTCCAGAAAAAGTCAAATATCTGACACAATTTGGTCAAAAGAAAAAGTAGACCGTTTTATCTAGACGACTTATAATTAAGTCGTCTGGAGTTTTTTTTTTAACAAACAAAGCTGGACGACTTAGAAGTAAGTCGTTCGTTTGACCAGAAGACTTATCCGTAAGTCTTCTACATCCAGACGACTTACGGGTAAGTCTTCTACGCGAAGAGATCTGGAAAAAAAATCAATTTCAAACCTTAAACTAGGTGAGATGACTTCCTTTGCACACAGAGTCTTCTCCAACCACCCAGAACATCGAACGAAAGTAACCCACCAACAATTGTATGCTTAAATGGCTCTATCAACCATAAAAAATTTGCTATCAAAAGCTTGGGTTTTTGGCATGAATATGGAGACAAAGTGAAGGAGATGTTATTTTTAGTTCATAACAATTGAGAAAGAGAGTATGAATATCGATTTTAAGTGCATTAAAAGCTTCAAACCTTGGTTGTATAAGGTTGTTGGGTTGTACAAGGTTGTTGGGAGTATTCATGGCAATGGAAATGTTGTAAATACTTGAAGATGATGAGGTTGAGAGAGTAAAAAGGCCATTTTCGAAAAAAAGTAAAAAAAAAATATTTAATGGCATTTTCGTAAATAAAATGAAGATGTGTGGTGGATAGGACAAAAACAAGATGAGATAAAAGAAGAAGTTAGTTTTGTGTTTGACCATGAGTTTTGAGTCAAATTTGCAAAACTCCCTTATAATTAATTATATATTAACAAATATAATTATTTTTCAAGGTTAATAAAGACTTTATAATCCGATATAAAATAGTTTTATATAAAGATAAATCTAAAATCATTGAAATTCGTTTTTATTTATGTTTAATTATATATTGAAATTTTTAATTATTCATTAAGGGTATAAACGATACGATATTAGCCACCCTAACTTAATTATATACTAACAAATATAATTATTTTTCTAGGTTAATAAAGACTTTATAATCTAATAAAAAATAGTTTTAGATAAAGATAAATCTAAAATAAATAAAAACGAATTTCAATGATTAAAAGTTTTAATATATAATTAAACATAAATAAAAACGAATAATTAAAAATTAAAATTATATATTTAAATAGTTTTAGATAAAGATAGATAAAAAACTCGAAAAATATTCTGGTCGAAAAATATTCTGGCAATTTCAAACCTTAAAAGTCGAAAAATATTCTGGTCGACTTTGATTATCCTGGACGACTTTAATCTAAGTCGTCTGAGCGGTCGACTTTTAATTAAGTCGTCTGGAGAAGTTAAAAATTTAAGTTTTATTTTTGAATTGCAAAACTAACGTGAGACGACTTATAATTAAGTCGTCTAGATTTAATAAAATATTGAAATTTTAACTTTCCCAGGGACGNNNNCAACCATAAAAAATTTGCTATCAAAAGCTTGGGTTTTTGGCATGAATATGGAGACAAAGTGAAGGAGATGTTGTTTTTAGTTCATAACAATTGAGAAAGAGAGTATGAGTATCGATTTTAAGTGCATTAAAAGCTTCAAACCTTGGTTGTACAAGGTTGTTGGGTTGTACAAGGTTGTTGGGAGTATTCATGGCAATGGAAATGTTGTAAATACTTGAAGATGATGAGGTTGAAAGAGTAAAAAGGCCATTTTCGAAAAAAGTAAAAAAAAAATATTTAATGGCATTTTCGTAAATAAAATGAAGATGTGTGGTGGATAGGACAAAAACAAGATGAGATAAAAGAAGAAGTTAGTTTTGTGTTTGACCATGAGTTTTGAGTCAAATTTGCAAAAATCCCTTATAATTAATTATATATTAACAAATATAATTATTTTTCAAGGTTAATAAAGACTTTATAATTCGATATAAAATAGTTTTATATAAAGATAAATCTAAAATCATTGAAATTCGTTTTTATTTATGTTTAATTATATATTGAAATTTTTAATTATTCATTAAGGGTATAAACGATACGATATTAGCCACCCAAACTTAATTATATACTAACAAATATAATTATTTTTCTAGGTTAATACTTTATAATCTAATATAAAATAGTTTTAGATAAAGATAAATCTAAAATCCTTGAAATTCGAATTTATTTATGTTTAATTATATATTAAAATTTTTAATTATTCATTAAGGGTATAAACGATATTAGCCACCCTAACTTTTAACGTGAGAGCTCCGTTGCGAAAAATCACTTGGTAAATTCGGGCTTAATTATCTTTAAGTCAATTAAAAAAATCATCAAAATAAAAGATTATTTTCATTCAAAAAATTCAACATAAAACATAAAACTCTTTTACATGATAAAGTTATTCACAAATTAAAAAAAAAAATCTACCTTTTCCTTTAAAATTTGAAAAAAACTCTAAAGTCTATTTCAATTTTTCTTTATTGATAAAAAATATAGAAAACTATCTTTCAATTTGATAAATTGAATCGATAAATATACATTCAAAATTGATCTTACATAAAGAATAATATTAGTTTGGATAATAATATAATATCTTTGAATTTATTTTTGCCAAAAATCGTATTTTCTTTCTTTTGAATGAACTCTTATTTTATTATGATCATGTTTAATATGTAACTATATAAAATATAAAAAATAAATTAGTTTTAAAGTGTGAGTTCAGAGGAGAAAAAATAAGTTCACACATATATATCATTATATTATTATATTATTATATTTTTTAATTTGAAAATAATTACGTCTTATAATTTTTTTAATTTTCTGTTTTTAATTATATACAATTAAAAATTTACTTTATGAATATTTATTTATGTGTTTTCCGTTTTTGATTTTTAATTAAAATATATTTTTTGGATAACAATACAATATATATAAGAATTATCTTTCTTATTTTTAAATATATATTTAATTTTGGATAATTCTTATCATTATTATTAATTTAAATAATTTATCTAATCAAATAAGTATTAAATTCGTTTTTATTTTTGACTGATTTATATTTTTTATTCATTAAGGGTATAAACGATATTAACCGCTCTAACTTTTAAGGGGAGGGCTTTGTTGCGAAAAATCACTTCGCAAATAATTGTATAGATTAAATTCGTTTTTAATTTTAGCTGATTTATATTTTTAGAGTGATTTAGTGAACTACCCATATTTGAAGCTCAAATTAGCAAAATACCATTGATTGTACATGAAGGACACTGACACAACTATTTGGCAAGGAAATGCCGAGAATGCCCTTTCTCTTTCTTCTCATTAACACGAAGCGTAAAAACATTTATTAACATATAACACTTCTGTTAACGTCTACAATATTTGTTAACAGCCAACACATTTATTACCGCGAAGCGTAAAAATAAATGTTAACAGTTAACACTTCTGTTAACGTCTACAATATTTGTTAACAGCGAACACATTTATTAACGCGAAGCGTAAAAATAATTGTTAACACCTAACACTTCTGTTAACGTCTACAATATTTGTTAACCGCTAACACGACGTCGAATCTAAAACCCAGAAAATTTATATCATCAAAAAATTGAGGATTCAAAGCAACTTATGAAAAAAATAATGAAATTTAAAATTTAATTGTATATAGAATGATAGGGATTTGTAAAATAATTAGGGATTGGAAAGAGAAAAAAAAGATCAAAATTGAGAATTCAAAGCCACTTATGAAAAAATAATGAAATTTAAAATTTAATTGTATATAGAATGATAGAGATTTGTAAAATAATTAGGGATTCAAAAGAAGAAAAAAAGAGGGGAGATGTCAAAGAGAGGAGAGAGAGTGTAGAGAAGGGCAAAATGGTCCAAAGGAAAGTGATTATCATATCATGGGCAATTCTCTAATTATAGGTGCCAAATAGGGCACTTTAGTCAATTATCTCTATTTTTTATTCATTAAGGGTATAAACGATATTAACCGCTCTAACTTTTAACGCAAAGCTTTGTTGCGAAAAATCATATTCTCAAATAATAGTATAGATACAAAAAATCATATTCTCAAATAATAGTATAGATACAGATAGATAGATACCGCTACCCTTGAAACTATATTCTTGGCAGACGATAATGGCGTCGAAGCAAGAATACGGCATCCCTTATACGCCTCTTCCGTCATCACAGCTTACTCACAACGTCATCGTTCTAACTCCTTATCGACGCCACCCTCGCCCTTCCTTCCTCCGCAACCTCCGCTGCTGTCTCCTCTTCACCGCCGCAATCCTCCTCCTCCTCTCCGCCGCCGTTTACTTCCTCTACCCTTCCGATCCAGAAATCGATGTCTCTCGAATCAAGCTCAATCACATACGAGTCCTCGAATCGTTTAAACCAACGCTCGATCTCTCGTTTTCCCTCACGATCAAAGTCAGGAACCGTGATTTCTTTTCCCTTGATTACGATTCCCTTGTGGTCTCGATTGGGTATAGAGGGAGAGAGCTAGGGCTTGTGAAGTCTCGAGGCGGACACCTTCGTGCTCGTGATAGCTCTTATATTAATGCGACTCTAGAGCTCGATGGTCTAGAGGTTGTTCACGATGTGATTTACTTGATAGGTGATTTGGCCAAAGGTGTTATCCCTTTTGATACGATTGCGCAGGTCAAAGGTGATCTTGGTGTTCTTCTCTTTCAAATTCCAATTCAGGTATACCTTTTAGGGTTCTAATTCACTTGAAGATACTTGTCTCTCTTTTAGGGTCTTGGAAGGACCAATTTTGGAACTTTGATTTAGTTTCTACTATGTTCTGTTGTGTTGTTCTTAACTATAAACAAGTTCTTAGGAAGTCATTTGTTTTGTTTTCCGACTTAAATATGTGGTTGTGAATGATGTGTAACGTCTAGTATTGGTTGTTTTGTTACTTCTGCATGATGTCTCCATTTGATGAAAAGATTTCTTTTGTGTGTTTGCTTGGTTAAATTTTTCTAGTTCCGAGTTTATAGACAGGATTAGAGTTATATATACTGGAATATGTTTGCTCTGTTGTGTTTTTAAGCTGATTGGGGTTTCTTGACCTTCTGAAATAATCAACTCATCTTTTTCAAGAATCAGAACTATAGGGGATATGTTCGGCATCCTGTATGCCGGCCTTGAAATTTTAAAGGCCAAAAGCCCCTATTTTTGATAACCATCTATGTTTTGTGTGGGGTGGTATATTGGTCAATGTAATTGAAATTTGGATCATTAACCCTACTGTTCACATTTTTGTTTCTAAATTAAAGGCAAAAAGGTTGTTTATTGGCTGACCATCACTCAGTTAAAACTACTGCCACTATTATCTGCCATTACCTATATACTTTAGTTGAAACAATCATTGTCAAGAGTCCTTTCTTTTGATTTTCTCTTATTTTTGAATCTTTGTGGTAATGTTTGTATAACTTCATTAGGTTATTTTGTGCAATTTTAGTAAAGATTTAAATATTTTATGGGTAAAACTGATTTTCTTGCAGGGTAAAATGTCATGTGAGGTGTTTGTTAATGTTAACAACCAGAAAATTTCACACCAAGATTGTCATCGTAAGGTAACATAGTTTCTTTTGTCACTCATGAGATCCTCTTCTGAAATTTTATTCAACAATCTGTTTTAGTTAAATTGTGATTTTAGTGTTTATAAATACATTCTTTTATGGTTGTGGTAAAAATAGTTCATTCTAAAGGTATTTCATCAAATATAAAAGTTTGTCCTTCTTAGTGTAAATGGAAAGAAAATGGGATCTTTTGTTTTGATTCTCTCTTGTATAAGTTTTATTGCAGTTGCGTGGACATAAGTTTTGAGCTCTTTAGACCATTGCATATTACCTTTACCGTTGAAATTTGAATGCAGGACAAATGTTTACAATCATAAGGTTGCTGCTGCCACAGCTAATCACATGTCTCCGCTTTGGTTTTGTAATGCGCAGTGAAACAAAATCCTGAGCTGGTACAAAGATCAGAGAGGAATAAACCAGAGATACATATGTTGAATATATTTTGGGTTATGGAGAAATGATTTGTAAGCTGTTGTGTAGATAAACGATATTGGATTGTCTTTTCGTAGTCGTGTGATTTCTTGCGTACACTATACCTCAACGAGATAGTAACAATTTAGGTCAGAGTGATTGCAGTGTTATTTACTGCCAAGTTCTCACTTTGCTCTATAGATTCACTGTGATGTGCAATCTGGTTATGCGAGTTATTGCTATTGAAAACTAGTCTATTTTAGGGTGAAATGTTTCAAACATGATTTTACTTCAAAAATTCTTTAAAATTCGTTCCCCTTGAAACTGGAACCCGGCATGCCGACGGTTTACCACTCAAACTTTTACATTAAGAGAACAATGTCGGGCATGTCCTCTGATATAAATCCAATGCTAGGTGGATTCAAATAAGGTAGTCGAATAGAACAATGTCGGGCATGTCCTCAAATAGGTACACACATACTAAACATGTATAAATAGGCTAATCTAATTTCGTTCGCAACAAAAAAAATTAGCTACAAAAAAAAGATTCCAAGGGAATTTGACAATTTATTTTGAAAAAAAGATATTATATTCTCCTCTCAAACGGGAAATTACATTTTTCAATAAAAATATATATTCAAAAGTGAAAAGATTACATTTTTTTTTTGCAAAAATTAAAAAAAATTATATTTTTTCATCAAAATATCCTTTCGTCAAAAATCACGAAAATCACATTTTTCTTAGCAAACCTGTAACTTCAATTTTCTGTTAAAATAAAAACAAAATCACGTTTTCTTCAAAACGAAGAAGTTATATTTCTGCTAAAACCAAAATATTGCATTTTCGTATTAGTTTACTTCAATATTTTCTTTTCTTTTTTTTTTACATCAAAAGGTTGATTTATTATTCAAGTTTGAGGTGGTCTGGGAACCTAGACCGGAATAGAACAACCAACATACGGAAGTTCTTGATAGAAAGATCGAGTAGTTTTAGCTAAAGAATCAGAAACAACATTCTGTGTCCTAGGAACACAGAAGATCTTGAAATCTGGGAAGCAAATCTGCAACATCATAAATTTTTGCAATTCCATTGAAAAACTTGGCCAGTCATGAGGATTGCTGAGCATCACTATCATCTCCTTGCAGTCCGTCTCAAAGTTCTGACATGGCGAATGTTGAAGCATATTCTCCATTGTCCATGTAGTGCTTCCAGCTCAGAGTGCAAAGTAAACTCCAATCTGCTAAAATTACGCATACCCATTAACTGACTAGTGTCTATACTGTCATTCCAAACCCAATTACATCCACTAAACTAAGCTGTAAAGGTCCAAAAACCGTCTACCGTGTAAATGTTTCCCAGATTTATGACCTGACTTTCAACATTTATGTTTCCTTGAGATGACAGATATAATATTTTATTTTGTTAAAATCCCTAAATCACACATTTTCCATTAAACATTAGAAATTACTTTTCTTACCAAAACCTAAAATTATATGCCTTTTTGTTTAGACTCCTCCAGAGTTACCCAACGATCTCACATATACTCCATACAAAAGATTTGATCAAAAAAAAAAAAAAAATTTCATACAAAAGATAAGATGGCCGACAAAGTCAAGAGTCATATGTTATCCATATCAATATAGAGTACTCAATATAAATTATATAAAGAAAATATAGCAACTTTTTTTTTGTCAACTAATATATATATATTTGTTTTTTGACAACAAACAAATGATTTATTATTCAAGCGACTTGAGGTGGTCTGGGTAACCAGACCGGAATAGAACAACCAACGTACACAAGCTTACGATAGAAAGACCTAGCTATCTTAGCTAGAGAATCAGAAACGCCGTTCTGTAATCTAGGAACATAAAAATCTTGAAGTTAGGAAAGCAGATCTTCAGTGTCAACAATTTTTCTAGCTCCGTTGAGAAGCTAGGCCAAGCATGAGGATTCTTGAGCATCTTGATCATTTCCTTGCAATCTGTTCCAAAGCTCTGACATGGTGAATGTTGAAGCATGTTCTCCATTTCCCACCGCAGTGCTTCCAACTCTGAATGCAACGCCGATTCAACTCGATCAAAATTACGCAGCCCCACTAACTGGCTATTTCCGAAATTATCATTCAACACCCATCCACATCCACTGAAGAAATCCATAAAAGTCCAAGATCTATCCACTATGCATATGTTACCCAAACTTAAGGCCTGGTCTTCACCTATTATGTTCCCAAGGGAAAACTGTATATTCTGCTCATTTGCTTGGAACCCTGCTTGGCATTCACTTTCTGCGTAGCGCGCTACCTCCAATGGGTCCCTATTAATGCCTCTGAATAGTTTATCATTCATAGCCTTCTAAATGTACCAGATTAACCAAGGATAAGGATCCCTGTCAAATTCCGGTTCCATTATTACATTCTTTCTCCAGAATAGATAGTCCATATTCGCGTACTTGCTTTGTACTGGAAACAAAGCGGGATTGGTAGGCGTAGATGATAGCGCCCAAACTTTTAATGCAGGGGGGGGCATTCAAATATTGCATGTGTGATCGTTTCCTCGGGTTCCCCACAACGAGGGCAGTGGTTTTCACATCTCATATGTCTGTAGTTTAAGATGCTCGTAACAACTACATGTCCTGTTATCAACTGCCACATAAGATGGCAAATCTTTTGTGGAGCCCTGACCTTCTAAGCATGTGCTTGGAGTTTTGTGATACTAGGCTCACATACTTCAGATTCATCTTCCTTCCTCAAGATATTTCATGCTACCCAGTATCCAGATTTAACTGTATATTGTCCAGTCCTCGTATAACTCCAGCAGTACTTGTCCCGTCGATGCGTGGAGCTAATGGCCATACTCTTGATGAGTGGTATATCGGTGTTGGTGTCAAAAACTGTAATCTCGAAATCAACGTATACAATAACTTCTGTAAAGATAAAATCAAATCTTTCCATGGAATACAAAAATACGTTTTATAAAATTCAAGAAATCATTTTATAAAACTCGAGAAATTGTTTTATAAAACTAGAGAAATCGTTTATAAAACTTGAGAAATCGTTTTATAAAACTCGAGAAATCGTTTTATACAACTCGAGAAATCGTTTTATAAAAGAAGTTTCCGAACAAAGGAAATCTGCGGAAAGATTTGGAAATCGTTATCTCGGAAGAACGAAACGAACGTAAATTACGCGATCATCCGAGTTAAGCGAAAAACCGCATCCTCCGTAAATCGCGAGCTAGTTCGGCCGAACTAGCTCGCCGTACGGCGAGCTAAGCGGCCTCGAATTAGCTCGCCGTACGGCGAGCTAGTCACATCACGACTAGCTCGCCATACGACGAGCTGAACCAGCTGGTTCAGCTCACCGTACGGCGAGCTAGCCTCGTCCCAAGTAACTCGCTGTACGGCGAGCTCGAAGCTTCCCGGATAGCTCGCTGTACGGTGATCTGAACCGATCTGGTTCGGCTCATCGTACGTCGAGCCGACCATCCCGAGCCTCGATCTCCCGCGTCCCTGATTCAAGGCTTACGTCCTTCGACACGATCGTGTTTCGAAGCACGGTGTAAAACTTTTTTTTCTCGAAAAGAACTCGAGGAAATCGTATAAAACGGCAACGGTTAAACGAAACACCGAACATTGTTTAAACTATACGATTTATTCGAGATTTTTCATAAAAACGTAAAAACGCGTTTTTAATAAAAAACGTCGAGTGAATCGTAAAAACGGCAATGATTAACCGAAAAATGAACGTAGCTAAACTTTACGATTAAGTCGAGGAATTTATTAAAAAATGGCATCGGATCAGGAAACGATCTCGTATAAAGTCGTAAAACGGATTTATCGCAAAAACGGCTCGGAAGGTCCTAAAACGTGATAAAAGCTCATCTCGCGACTTTCACGAAATCTAACCCAAAGATACGATAACTTTTTGACGATTTACCCGCAGAAGGATAAAAGTCAAGTTTGAAGGTAAATGGCAAGTTTGAAGATAAAAAGAAGATTTCTGCGGGAAAAAAAGAAAGATCGAGATAAATGAAAGATTCCCGATAAACTCGAATCTGGGAAAAATGGAAGGACCAAACCGCTAAGGAAGGGAGTATATAAGCAAGAGACATAGGGCAGAAGCACAGGACAAAAATCAGACCGAGAGAGGCGGCAATTAGCTTAGGAAATTAGGACTTAGGTGTTTAGACTAGCAAGCCGGATCCTTAGAACGTTTCGACGTCTAAGCTCCGCGATTCTCTTTGTAACAGTTGTCAATCTCTTATTCAATAAAAATCTCTCACACAAATTATGTATCTATTCTCTGTTCTTTGTTATTGTTATTTATCCATATTCTGTTAACTCTGTTCGTTTTAGTGATTTCCACAGAGATCCAGGACCTCGGGAAAATAGGGTTTTCCCTAAGTTTCCATATTTGACGGAAAATCGACGGTGTGAATTTCGGTTCCCACAGTTTGGCGCTAGAAGGACGGGTGGGTCGGATTCTCTTACACAATATGCGCTAGAATGAACGAGAAAATATATGCCTAACCTAAACGGCGACGTCATCTCGTTTGAGAAAAGAGCAACGATCGATTCTATCAAACCTCTCAACGATCTTCTCGTTATCGAGCTGACGATCCAGAATATGGATGTCTCAAGGATATTAGTTGATACCGGAAGCTCGGCTGATATCATCTTCAAAAATACTCTCGAGAGAATGGTAATCGATCTGTCTGAAATCGCGGAAAACGTAAGCCCACTAGTAGGACTCTCGGGAGAAGTCACCATGACCCTCGGAACGATCAACCTTATGGTTCGCGCCGGGAGCATAGTGAAAAACGTTGAATTCCAAGTCGTCGATCGACCCATGTCTTACAACGCGATCGTAGGGACACCGTGGTTAAATTCGATGCAAACGATTATGTCGACGTACCACATGTGTCTTAAGTTTCCAACTTTGTGCGGAATGGAGACCATATGGGGAAATCGGAGGACCTCGCAAGTTTGCTATGCCACAGATTTAAAACGAAAAAATCTGCCGGTCGACGTTTCTTCCAAAAAGAAAAAGAAGTCGACGGCCCTCGACAACGTCCCAGAGCAAGATAAAATGGAACTCTTCTGGCAGTTGCGAGCAGCCGAGGTATTGGAAGGTAAACGCGAGCCAACCCGCAAACCTGTCTTCTCAGTGTGAATCGACGAGGCTTTTCCAGAGCGCTTCGTTGAAATCGGTGCAAACCTGAGCGAGACCTTAAAAGCCGAACTCCTGACATGTTTGAAACGAA